GACTCCGCGAAAGTTCCCGAGGATCATCTTATAAATATCTTGCTGCTTCGACCGCGGGGATCTATTTGTATTTACCGTATAAATAAAGTCATGAAATTATATGCTCGGCACTTGTCGATATATAATGTCAACGGCGTGACAGTCGAACTCAACAAGGAATCTGCGATAATATCAACGGTAATGAATAATTCTATTCTAATTGTAGAATATATTATAATATCTTGGGAGATTGTAGAAATTCGTCGCGAGTCGTCGATGATTTCATTAGCTGAAAAGATGAGTCATCTCACAGACGCGGAATCAGACGATTCCTCGAAAGGTGAAAATCAGTAGATAATGATGGCAGACATTTCGATTTAATGTGTTAGATACGTGTAATGCTTCACTGTTACTTATTGTTATTATTTTTATATTTAATGAGCTTAAAATTATAAAATAATTTGTCCCGAAATTCTCCAAGCTTTCTGCTTACATGCGCCATCTAGAGTTCAGGCAATGCCTTTTATCTTGAATCTTATCGTACAAATTATATACGTTCTAACTCAATTAAACAGATTTGTATATTGGCTAATGAGTTTTCGAACTTTATCGACATATTTCTCAACTCAACTGAAAGTGCCTTCAGACATTGTCCGACTAGTACCTTCTCATCTTGAATATTTTTTATTGTGGCTGTTTATTTATTCTTATTATATCGAAATCTAAATTTGGCTATGATACTTTTACGTACTTTTCTCCGTTTCTCTCTCATTTATTTGTATATCATAGAGTACTTTCTATTTAAATAAATAAATAAATAATTATAATTTGGCTAGTAATTTATTTATTTATTTAAACGTTCTTTTGAGCATATATCTAAAAATCCGTCAAGCTTCCTTTCGCAATTTTCCGATAGGACGCGCCGCGGCCGAATTTTCCTCCCACCACAATTTCTGCTACATTCGAGCAATTGGCGCCGAATCGATGCAACATTCCCACAAAACGAAGGTGATAATTGCAGCAGCGATGCGATGCCAGCAACAACGGCGGCAGTGGCGGCGGCGGCGGCACGATGGAGTAGTACGCGCCGGGTGACCGACCTTTACGTAACGCGCGGCTGTTTACGCCGCACCGCGCCGCGCTGCGTCGGCAGGAGTGACGTCTACTCGTTGCAACGATGATGCGCCGACAGTTGCAACTGCACCGGTGCGGCTCAGAGCGCGTTCGTTGCTGCCGCCGCTTAAGCTTCTTTCCCTTCCCGCCTTTCGCTTCTCCCTTCGCGCTTGGTCGACGGCCGACCGGATGCGGTTGCAACGCGCTCTCCGCGTGCAACTCGGCGAGGCATCGTCGCGCGGCATTACCACGCTCGCAAATCGGCCGCGCGAGAACCTCGCGAGAATCGACGACGATGACGAATCTTCGTTCGAAAGGGGAATCTCCGCTGCGATTTGTCACACGTGTGACTCGCGCCAGAATCGAACGGGACGCGAGGCCTCTTTGACGCGCGACATCAGTTCCTCCCAAAGCTCAGCGGCACAGTGTGCAGCAACAGTTCTTGCTCTGATTCTCACGTGGAGAGAACGCTCGACGACAGACCTCCGTATGACGCTCCGTTAACTCGCTTCTCGAACACGCCACCGGCCGTTCCTCTCTTTCTCTCTCTTCTTCCCTCTCCTTTTCTCCTCGTTCCACGCCACTCTTCTTTCCAACGAAGGTCAGCAGCCGTCTGTCGCGCCTGGTTGCACACGCGGCATCGAACCTCTCCGCGCACGTTGTTGCACATTCGTATGATTTAGGAATCTTCGGAGTCGCCGCAATAACGCGCGATTAATCGCGAGAAACGCAGAGCGATACGGCTTAAATAAACCGCGAAAAATCCCATTCAAAATTCTACTCACCACACGAACAGAAGGAATTAACTGTCCGCATAATACAACTGAAATTTCGTTATTAGACCGTTTTTAGCTGTGGAAGCTAAAAAGCAAGTAGAGGAATAAAAAAATTAGCTAAGTTAATTAAATTTCAATTACATTATATCGACAGATAATTTTTCTCTGTGAGAGCTAATTCTTTTCTCCTGTACAGCTGATCTCAAAAATCGAGAAACTTTGGAGGAACAAAGTATATAATAATCGCATATGAGAAGTTGAAAAATCCAGAATTCGAGACATTTGAAGAATATTCAAGATCTGGAAATGTTAATGAAGACCTTATTTTCACGAACACTTCCTGGATATTGAAAATTCAAACACCCCAAGGATATGAAAGTTTCTCTCGACGCCTATATCCATGTAGGAGTCAACGCAATTTGATTAATTAGCATAAGCATCCGACATGCCATTGATTAGAATGATCGTTTATCCGAGAAAGAGAGAGAGAAAGAGAGAGAAAAAGATCGTCGATAGGAAGCTCGCGCTTTAACAAGCGCGATCGGGTCGAATACCCGCGATGAGCGAGCGATCGATCATCCGAGGCGGACCTTGGCATTCGATCGCGTAGACAGGAAGAGCGCTTTTTACGACGTGCTCGAGGAACGTTTGCGCTAATGAATGAACTTGTCCGTTGTCGGCATATCCCGTTGCGCGCGTTTCTTACAACTTGGCAGTTCGCGCGGAAAATCGCGCTTCTTCGCGCTCGTATGCCCACATGCATACGTAACCGCGTAGACACGCTCGGTGTATCATAGCGAACTCGTCGCGGCACTTTTCGTTTTTTCGAGTTCCGGAACAGGCGGTGGAGATCGCGAGGACGATCTCGAGGGTATCGCGAGTCCTCCATGCACGTCGCTAGCGCATTCAAAGTCTATAATTCGACGATAAGAACTCCTAGATCGTGGCTCACTTAGCGTGACACTCATTAAATTCATATTAAGCTAATCAATGAGAGAAATAACAATTATATATATGACACAGTTATAGCAAATAAAATTATTGCTGACAAGAAACAGGACTGAAAATTGGCATCGGCAATTACTATTATTAAAAAGGAATTTGAAGAATTACGTTTACAAAATCATTTGATAAATTGCTTCGAAAACACCTCCTTTTTTCTTATAGTAACAGGTTTAATTTAAATTAAAATAATTGTCCTGACCTGATATCATAAGCATCTTAATCAGACTCTGTATTTTCAATTCCTACATTATAAGCTTAAAATATTAATTAAAATGAAAATGACAAAGCGACAAAGGTCGATTGGTCTCACAGTCCGGAGGTGTGGCGAATCAAACACTCGAAAATCGCTACGCGGCCAAGTAATAATGACAATTGCCGATGTCTGTTTTCACTTCTGTAATTTGTTGTACAGCAGGCGATTCACCATTGACGGCGATGTTAAATCGTCGATTAGATTAGTCCGAGTTCGATGAAAGTCACCCTTAGCAGCGCGCGACCGATTTATTCAAGCGAGCTACGCTTCGGCTCGGTGCAGCTCCAGGGGATTCTCGAAATGCGATTTGCGTTATTTCCAAAATAAGCGGCTTCTAGTAACGACAATGGCCGCGCAGCGATTAGGCTTCCTCGAGCGCGCGTCTTTGAATTGAAGTGAACCATCGTAACACTCAAAGACAAGTTACATAAGCCGACTTATGGAGACCGCTCCCAGCGTATGTCCGACATACCGGGTGTTCGAGATTCCTTCGAGCAGCGTCGCGGAACCGCTTCGATCAAGCTCTACGATTCGAGTTTGCACACGTGGCGGTATATCGTTTTACGGCTAATAGTTCACTAGCGTGTCTAGCTTCTCGCTCCTCCGGGAGATTACGCGCGTTCGAATTGACGCGATTACATGATCGGGATCGAGCGAACGACCACGAGTCGAGGCACGCCTCGACGAAACTCTCTCTCTCTTTCTTTCTCTCTCTCTCTCTCTCTCCTTCTCCTTCTCTTCCTCTTTCTCGCAATGCCTTTCGCGATATATAATGACGCGCCGCTGCCGGAAATTCGCCTCCGACCGAGCGAGGGACTCTAGCCGCGGAGGCAATGACATTGCTCACAATGCCAGGATGCACCGCCGCCTGCATCGGCCGATGGCATCGTCCGCGGTCTTTCGCTTCCATGAAACGATGCGCCGCTGCCGCCTCGCGAATGGCGAGCGTTTTTCTCCGCCAGACGGGATTCCGTGGAATTAAACGGTACAATCGCAATCGTCGGAATTAAACGGTTAATCGTGCGAAAAAAGGAAGTAAAGAAGGAAAAGAAGCTCTCTCTCTTTCTCACTTC